CATAAGATCCTATGCTGAACCTCTCACTTGTAAGTATTAGAACCAACAATGGCAAGCAAACACCAGTGTGAAATATTGTAATCTACGGATCCATTGAAGTTATTACAAAAACTCAGCAATTATTTAAGCACAAAGTGCACACAAAGTACTATGTTTGGTATGTGTGTGTGGAGAGTTGGCAACCCACTGCCCCAGTTCTCAAGGCTGGCCACCTACATAGCTAGTGACCGGCTCTCGTCTGTGTGTGTGTGCGTGTGTGTGTATCTGCATGTGTGTACAGAACTTGTCGACACTGTGGATTGGTTGTGTGTAGAAAGGGATGGGGGAGGATATGCTTTCTTCTTCTTTTCATATGCTGGTGTGCTAAACAATTTTTATGAATAAAATGACGATTTATCCCTCCATTCATGTTTGAGCAGTCAGTTCTGTCAGTCTCTCATTTGTTACTGGCCACTCCCATGTCATTCTAAATACGCTCGGAAAATTAAACAGCTCGTGCTCTCTCACCAATAATGCATGGCATTCGTTATTATTGTCCCATATTTGTGTGTTGTGATGTACAAGTGGTGTTCCTCCCTACCAGATGACAGTCTCACTCCACACACACTGCTATCTGCTGTGTCCTCTGTGAGACAGTTCTGGATGAGAGATGATGATGATGATGAGGAGGGGCTGCTGTGGTGGCTTGGTGTCCCCTACTCAGTGATGGATGATATCTGGGCCAGTCCATCACACTCAACTGAAGAGGAGAAAAGGATTGCAGGTCTACAGTACTACCTCCAGACAGTACCTGGTGCATCATGGGAGGTGATAGCTGGAGAATTATGGTACCTGGAGGAGCACACAGTCCTGGAGGAAGTCAGACAACATCTACCGTCAACATATGGTGAGTGGTTGGTGTTTCAATTTTATCCCTCATTGCTGCTTACGCGTTACTAACTTAATATTCAGAGTAGCACAATTGGAGCCCTTTTGAATAGTATTATTTTTAGCCACCATGTTTGTAAAACGTAAGCCTTTTTTCTAACCAGTGTTAGGTGCTGTGTGTCCTTGAAACACTAGTCTGTCAATTGAATGACTTTTGCAGAGTTTTGTGCTTCTGCTACTCAATTGCCGTGATTTTGATTCCCTGTCTACACTGGAAGTTGTTTGCATGAGCCCATCACATTTATTGTTACATGTCTACCACAAGTTGTTGTGGTAACTGAACAGGAAAAATAGGGGCAATTCTCTTCTTATATTGCATGATGCACACCAAGTAAATAATTTTGAGTTTGTAGTAAGATGATGAATGTATGAAACCATCTGTACCAAGAGCAGAGAGTGGAAGAGAGCTTGGTTTGTGCGTGACTTGTTCAACACTACACACATGTAGTGGTTTACGGCAATGCGTTTTTGGAG